GCAGGCGACTCGGATAAATCAGCATCAGATCAAAGTGACCTGGAAAATGCCTGATACGGATGCCTTCATGGATCAACTTTCTTCTACCTCTTCAAGAATAAACTACCGACAGGCAGCCATACAAGGTTTTCAGATTCTCTATGCCCCTAATGATAATCCCTATGAATCTTCTGGTTGGACTACGTACGAAGTTGGACCCTTCCAAATGGCAATAATATCCCACTTACAGAGCAAATCTCCTTATTTTATTCGGGTGAAATCAAAGGGTCCTGATGGTCAGTATGGTGAGTGGAGTAATCCGCCTGCAATTGCCAAATCAACAATGACAACTTGGGGAACAGACTACTCTGTTAGAGGACTGCTTTGCATCCCAGGCCTCACTAGTGCAAAAATAACTTGGCAACGGCCTCAAAATACCAAGGGACTGATGGCATTTAATGTAAGTTCCAACCTTGAACTCAAGAAATGGGATTAGATTTGTTGTTGTAAAGACGTGGTTTTAAAGAAACCTTGTATTGAGGACACGTATACCCCGAGCGAGCAAGTGTTGTTGATACAGCCAACGCCCATGAACACACCCAGAGCTCTCTTCTCCTCCACAGCTATTTCCACCCCTTTTAGCTATCAGCCTATGCACTCTGTTTCTCACCACCTCCTCTTGCTTACACCGCCCAAAATTTAGCCACTGTGTTTCGCCATCCCTGTTACATCAGTGTCTGTACTGTAAACGGACATGCGATGTACAGGCATCCCATTCTCCCAGCCTACTTTTTCTCCTCTATTTCCCATCCCACTCTCTTGCTTTCCATTTCACACATCCTCTCTTGAGTTATGCCACAGTATCAGTGTGGGCTGATAAAATCAGGAATAAAGATTTCGGGTTTTTTTGTAAGAGTGGTGTGTGGGCAGTGCAAACGTGAATAGAGAGTGAAGAGTGAATAAGCAAGAGAAATCGCGTGAGATCTGAGTGAATTTAATGCTTGAGGCAAATAACAAAAAGTTATTTTGTGAATGTCTCCTCGAAATAGGTTTTCAGACTTCCATATTTTTTGCTACTTCAAATAATTTCTTTATATGCATGAATTAATGAGTGGTTTGCAATCCCATCACTTTCAACCCACTCCTGCTTTACCTACTCTGTCTGCTAATTATATGACTCATTTGTAGTACGAATGACTAATAGTGAGAAATAGCGTCTAGTTAAGGGAGTTTGAAGTTATTTGAAAACGCTGGTTGCTAATAGTGAAGTGCTAAGATTAACCACTTGTTTGTTATATTGTGGTTTGGTTGGTGTGATAAGTCAAATAAGAACCAACCAGTTTTACCATTTTTAGGCGAATTTTATCGGCTTTTTTTTCATTCTGTTAATCATTGAACATTTTAATTGCAGGAAAAATTTTACTCCAAACCAAAAGTAAAATTCTCACTATTTCAGCCCATATCTATGTTGGAACTTTCTCGGTTGAAATTCAGATCAGCTCTCATAAGTGTACTCGGTCGAAATCCCCTGGTTTCATATTTTGGGCCAAATAAATTTTAAACTTTATTATGGGAAAGCGTTTGAATTTGGGAAGGACATGCCAAGGAGCGCACATTCTGTTATCTCTCCACAAACTAGTTCTTAAAGCTGAAAAAAACATTTTCCCTAACTTTCAGATTCGTGCTTCCGGTTCAAAGCAATACGCTGACGAAGCAGGTGTAATGCGAACGCAGACAATTGAACCTCGAAGCGCGAGACATGCATACTTTGCATCACAAGAAGGTTACGACTATGTCGTGAAAGATCTGGAGCCAAACACCATATATGATATTCGTGTCAATGCCCACTATGAAACGGGTTTGAACCTCGAAAGCAATTGGGAAACAACAAGTTGTCACACTGAAATGCAGAGTAAGTCTGTGGAGCGTAACCAAATATTTTCACCGCATATTCATAATACTTTTTTGTGGGCATTTTAACCTATTTTCACTGTTATTCTACCTCTGGTCTACCCCTAACAGGAAGTAACACCAGGCCGAAGCTTGCATGTTTCTGGCTAATGATACTTAGAAGGACAAGCTACTCATCAATTATCTATTTCCTTTTGGAAACTAAAATCTTAATTGTTTCTAGATTTCAAATTACCAATTCAACCGACTGCGTAATGTTGGGTTGAATATTGCTGAAATATTACTACGCAGGTTGGATTCCGGAGTCCATGGACAAGTTGGAAATGTGGTTAAATTTTGTATCAAGATTATTAGGTTGAAAGAGAGATGGGGCAAGAATTTTGAGGAAAGTTCTGATGAGGAACGTTTTGAAAGGACAGCCGGGTTTAGATTGTTTTTGTCTTGATTGATTTAATGTGAATTGTATAAAAAAATGTTGCTGAATGAACGAAGTGTCAAATTGGGATGGGGTTTCCGGGATAAGTGGGAGGAATGGTGTACAAGAAATCATGGTGGAAGAATGTGTAAAATAACTTCATTAGAAAATTCATTGTTTCCAATGGTTTAGAAGAGTTTCAAACTGCAATTGTATTTATTTATTTCTAAACGAGGGACATAAACAACAAGCAAACTACTCGTTATTTTTTAAGATCACTCGTAACCCGAAAATGCAATAACAACTTTGAATACTTTCTTAAAATCTTAACAAAAAGAGATATATATACCCACTCCTTTCAAACCTTCACATTTGAAGACTGTATTTTCATCAATGCACTTAATGCATATCAAAATAAACGAAAGAATCGACCGCTCAGTTTAAACACTTACATAGACTGCGTAATTGCATTATTAGGGCCATTTAGCTGTTGCAAAATGTTGGGTTATCAATTAGATGTCCGGGACAAGTTTTGCGGAATAATATTTGGTCATATTTCCAGATGTGGTACATGCGTGCACGTGGCCTATGCTTTCCATCAAAGCTTGAACCTTCCATTCATGGTCGTGGAGACAGCGAGAATGCTTGGCCGGCATCCTCTGGAATCACAATAGAAAGTAACTTGCTTCAGGGGGGTTTATGATAGCTGTTTAAGGCACACTTAATACTGTGAAAAATTTGTCATCAACCGGAAAATCGCAATCGAGGCTTTGAGGTTGCTGTGGCTAGAAGAAAGAGTATAATGATGATCTGATCTGATTTTGGTCCAGGGAAGTTGTTCTCAATGAATGCTTTCATTATTATCAATCATACAAGAGTCGTGGAGATCAAATCCTCTCAGAAAAGGCCGGGTGATCTGCTTTAACCTGAGCAGAGTAAAACATCCTGCTGAAAAACAAAAAAACTTGATCATTTTCGTTAGGATGACTTTTGTCAAAATGAAAAACATAGCAGCAGAATGAGCGTTATCTTACAGTCCAAAGACCAATCCACCTATCTTTCTGGCTAAATTAGCTCAAACTGGTACTCTTTTTTGGGAGTATCCTCCACCGAAAGTGATGTGACACTTCTCTCAAGCATTTCTCGAAAGAGGAGCATAGGCTGGATTCAGATGCCCGCGTGCAATTGTTAACAGTTGTAGTATTTATGCCCTGGATACCGAACGAGGATAGTCCGCAATAGGTCAAACGATGGCAGTAGTAGAATTCGGCCTCCATCCACACCATTGGGACGGTTAAGAATGGTTGCCAGCAAAATTTTGCAACTATAGTAGTCCCAATATTTGGCCTCTAAACTACACCAACTTCAGATCTTAGTCAGATGCTCTATTATTCCTGTATTGTATGCTGTGGAGAAAGATAATAAATCCCTTTTCACTTATTTGACTGAATTAAGACAATTTTTAGACCATTCCGAGTGAAAGTTTACAATCAGCGTGTTTCGCATTCCATGGTAGTTGCCGATGCTGGATTGGTGGTTTCAGTTTCCTTTTCTGTTGGAATTTTTTCAAATCTACTAAATATTTTAATTACTAACCACTTTTCCTTGATGTGACTGTCAAATTTAACCTGTACGTCTTAGAATGCGCTATTTATAGTAGTACTTTTCTCCCTAGAGCTAAATTCCTCTATAACTTTTACTCTTGAATCATTCATGTCCAGCATAGTGGATTTGAAGCATTTTAATTTTTTAGAAGCATCGGAGATAAAATATGTACTTCAGTAACTTAGTGGTCAGCGAACACGTCTGCCAAAATCGGAGGTCACTGTATAGTGCAGAAAAAGAATAAGAAAATGCTGCCAAAATTTTAAAATATGCTTTTCTCTCCCCCTCCCTTCAATACAGAGCCTGAGAAGGTGCCCTCTCCCAAGCCGATCTCTGCATTCAAAGACCAGAAACAAGTTAACCTGTTGGTGTACCGAGTGAGTGAACAATTGGGGAAAATTCGACAGTACTACATAATGGTCAGTCCATGGCATCTCACATCGGCTCCTTTGGAAATGCTCACTGTTGATGAGGTAAGTATTCCATCTCCCTATTCCATCAAAATATTGCTTCTTCTAGGTCATCACGGAAATAATATTTGAACTGGGTATCATTCTCCAATCATTCAATCTATTAAGTGAAACTATGTCATTTTTGTATGCTTAATTGTTAAATGCAAGCACTGCAGTCGAGGTATGGTTTAGATGCTTCGTTCAAATTGATTGTTTTGAGTGGAAGACAATCGGTTAAGCCTACTTATAACTATGGTTTCCACAAATTGCTGGATTTGTATCAGAAATTTCTAAACTCAATGTCTTGAATAATTTCTCTAAAAAGGGAGGAATTATATTTATAATTTCATTTGATTATAAGTAATTTATTCATTTCAAATGGTAGGCGTTTTGATAGTTATCATTAGCCCTTTAGCTGACTTCGAGCCTCACAGAGGGGAGTAATAACACCATAATGGCAAACAGTGGAGAGAGGGGATAGAAAAGTGATTTACAGATGTAAAGGAGACAGACAGACACAAATGTAAGATGAGTACTGTTGAAGTGGTCAAATATGACATACAGTGGGGTGATGGTAGTT